CACACACACACACACACACCCCAGCCAGCCTCAGCGGAACACTATGGGGCTGGGGGAAAACACTCAAAAAAACTCACACACAGAGCCAGCCCCAGCGGAACACTATGGGGCTGGGGGGAAAAGACAAAAAAAAAATACCCACACACAGCCAGCCCCAGTGAAATGCCATCGGGCTGGGGGGGGGGAGACAACCTTCCCCCCCACACACAGAGCCAGCCCCAGCGGAACACCATGGGGCTGAGAAAAAGAGACAAAAACTCTACACACAGAGCCAGCCCCAGCAGAACGCCATGAGCCTTGGGAGAAAGACAACCCTCCCCCCCACACACACAGCCAGCCCCAGTGGAACGCCATGGGGCTGGGGGGGAAAAAGACAAAAATGCCACATACAAAGCCAGTACCAGCAGAACGCCATGGGGCAGGGGGCAGGGGAAGAACCCCCCCACAGAACACCATGAAGTTGGGGGGGCGAAAGACAACCCCCCCCACACACACACACAGCCAGCCAAATGCTATGGGGCTGAGGGAAAAAACACCAAAACATAAGAAACATTACAGCACAGAAACATGACCCCCACAAACCCAAACCCACCCTGCAAAACAAAGTAAATATACTTACTCAGGAGCAGAAAGCAGCTCCAAGCAGTCCGAAGTCTCCTCTGATCGCACTTACTTAGGGCAAAAGAGCTACAAAGAAGCAGCCTCTTCACCTACCAATGATTAGCAAATAAGAGTTCCCCGCCTTTTTTCCCTGTCACAACTTGAAGCTCAGGCCGCAAGTCGAAGCAAAATTTTGCAGCCGGAGCTGGTCGCAACTCGAAATGGTTGTAAGTTGGAATGTTCGTAAGTCGAGGCACCACTGTATATGTATTTTTATCAATTGCTGAAGATTACATGGAGTTCTCCATTAAATCATACTTTTTTTTCCAGAATTATAGATCACCCTACTTTTGCAGCTGTCCTGCTTCCTAATGACCTGCTGCAGGGTATACAGTGGGGCCTCGACTTAGAAATGTCCCTGCTTACAAAAAATATTGAGGTACAAAAGCTCCGGCTGCAAAATTTTGGTTCGACTTGTGGCCGAAGCTTCGACCTACAAAAGGAAGGGGGAAAGGGCAGGAAATTCAAAGCCGCCCCTGCTGCCCTCTGCCTCCCGTCCCCGCTGCCTCCTGCAGTGGTGGAGGCAGTGGGGACAGGAGGCAGAGGGCAGCGGGGATGGGAGGCAAAGGGCAGCCGGGACGGCTTCGAAAGCCAAGCTTCCCAGGCTTCCAAAGCCGTCCCCACTGCCTTCCGTCCCCGCTGCCCTCTGCCTTCTAATTTTGTAAGTCGAGTCACCACTGTATAGGCAAAGCCTTTGAAGAGCTATTTAACTTGGATTCTGCCTTTCTGCCTAGGCTGGGACTCAAGGCAGCTCACAACATAATTAAATAATCAGATACACTAAAAATACAATAAAATATTATAATATCAAACGTTAATTGGTGCATTACACCAATAGCTGAATTAAAACCAGTTTTAAAAAAGACATATCAATTAGGAAAGTATTGCACATTCCAGACACCAAAAGGGGATGCAGCAAGAGGGGGAAAATTGTAGTACAGTACTGCTAGTGTGTACCAAAGTGCATTTTTGGATTTTGTCCTTTGTACTGTATTTTAACTTTCTGATGTACTTCATCCTGGGAACTCTAGTTAATGTATATTAACCTCTGGTATATTGTTATTATTTGTACTGTTGCTAGCCACCCAGAGTAGACTTCAGTCTAGATGGGTGGGGTATTAAATAAATAAATAAATAATGGGGTAGCATAGGGGCAGGATGGATTTAAATAAAATTAATTTAAGTCACAATTTAAATTTTACAAATCAGTTTTTGATTTAAATCGTAAATGTGATCTAAATCAATTTGATTTTTTTCAAAAATATTTGATTTTAATCCACCCTGCTCAGTGGTTTAGGTTTCTAGCTGAGGAGCCAGTGGTTGGGGACTGATTCCCCACTGTGCCTCCTTGTGTCTCTTTGGACAAGCCATACTGTCCCAGGATGCTCCCAGAAGAAGGGAACAGTAAATGACCTTCTGAGTATTCTCTACCTAGAAAAGCCTGGAAAAGCCAGAATCAACTTGAGAGCAGACAATTAAATTATGAAAGTAAGTAAAATATTTGGGCCTTTGGAGTATTAGTGATCTCCATATGTTAATAGCTGAAATCCTGTTGTTTAATGTTACCACAACTAGAGTAGGTATGTTGAATCGGAGGAATGCACAGTAGAATTGGCTCACCAGATCCCCACTGATTCCATGGACCTATTTTAATGTAACTTACTACATTAAACAGCAACATTTCAACCACTGCTATTCAGGCAATTGTAAATTCAATTGGTCAAATGGAACCAGTGTCTCCTTGAAGTACTGCCCAAATAAGAAGTATAAGAAGCAATTAGAGTTGCCCAGAAGCGGTGTGGCCACCAGTCATACTTCATTGCTTGTGCCTACAAGGAATTGTGACCTGTTTTTCAGTAGAAAACCCTGAGCTCATCTGTTATTTTAGCATTGACTTTTGAAAGTATTTTTCAATTTAAAAGTAAGAATGAAGGGCTTTTCTTTAAAAAACCACGAGCCTAAAGTTGTGCTGAATATGTTGAGCTAGTCATGCATAGCCCCTGCCCCCCAAAGGTCTAGTTTGTGTAGCCAGAAATTTCTTACACAGTCAGAAATCTGAAAATATTGGTGTATTTGGATAGCTAACTTAATTTACAATATTTGTCTGAACTTAAAAATTTCATGGTTCCCATTTTTCACAGTAGATGTCATAAAACACAGTTTCTTTGCTGGCTTATTCCCTGTGATGAATAGATTAGATGAACAAGGCAGATAGAATAGATATCTAAGCAGTCACTCCAATGCAGTCTCTAGGATCAATTTAGGACTGCAGGGTTTATGTAATCTTGCTAGCAGGTAGAAATTTGAGATTCTCATTTTAAATGGAGATTGCTTCAGTTTACTGCTGCAGTTTTGGAATCCTAATGCTTTCAACTCCACAGCAGTCTTTCTCCTGCAGTTGAAGCACAACAGAACTTGATGCCTGTGACCACATTCATTTTACATTGCATATTAGATAATAGATTCAGTTGGAAGGTGACTTGTTTATGTGGTTCAGAAAAAAATGACAAGAGGAACATGAATTTGGAGATATATTTTCCTGTTTTGTACAGGAGATATATAGAATTTTTAAGGGTTACAGAATGCTAGCTCCCTAACAGGTTGCCATTGTTTAACTTTACTTCCCTCTCAGTATATAAAGGGAGTACCTATAGTCCATTCTGAACTTGACAGTTATTTAGGATAGTAGCTCCGGCCTATATCCAATTGCTAGTTTTGAGTAGAGAAGGCCCAGTGGAAACTGGGTTAAGCAGCATTTATGTAAGTCTCATTGATTTTGTGGTTCTGCCTTAGTTGGGACTAAAATAGATTTTTGCTGAATCGAGTAGTAAGTTGCAACTGGAGTAGGCCCAATGAATTGATGATGGTTTGGTGAGTCAACACGTATGTAAGTTTAACATTCAGTGGACCTAGTCTAGTTGCATCTTGCCACTGGATTTCAACCAGTATTTGCCATAGAACCAGCAGAGTGGTGTCAAGCATGTGCTTCTGAAAATACTTGTCTCATTATTGATCAACAAATATGACTAGAGCAAACCTGGCACCTTACTATAAATGAAAAATATTCCAGGAGTCCAGATTTTGCCTAGTTTTGCTTTTAGATGATATCTCAGACTACTACAATGAAAAATGAATTACTGTACCTTCGCTACACTGATGTAGTTGATAGATATTACACTGGTACAGTATAATAAATACACTGGTTTAAAAAGTATTTTATGTTTAATTGTTTTTAATAGGTATTTTGACAGGAATTGCTAGTCCAATTGCTGCACACTTTGTATGTGATTGTGTATTGAAGGTTTCAGTCTGTGACAGTGATGCTTTCCTATCTTGCTGTATGTTGATGTTGCTCAAAAAGACAGTGCAGAACTACTTTAAATTAAGAAATGTGCATAAAAATATCACTTACAGTACTTGGATTTCAGCAGAGTTGTTTAGAGTTGCTGGATAGCTCAGTGGCTTAACTCTGACTGCAGAACCAGAAGTTGGGAGTTCAGTTCCCCACTGTGCCTCCTTGAGAAGGGCTAGACTTGATGATCTGTAGGGTCCCTTCCAGCTCTACAATTCAAAGATTATTATAATCACTTTACATTACAACACATACAACCTACAAATGGGAACTGAAGATGAAATCATAAAAACACTTATCTGGGAGTAAGTCATATTGAACTCGGTGTGACTTGTTTTTTGGTAAAGATGTTTCATTCCCCCAAAAAATCAGTATATAATTCATGTGTGGTAAATCTAGTGGAATCCTCCCCTGTTTAAAATTAGGCAGAGGAAGACCTTGCTGTCCTAAACATTTTGCTTGTAAGTTTTGTCAGTCAACATATCAAGCTGTTTGCCTTCGATCCTGTTTCAGGATGTCTACAGATAAATACACAAAGTCTCTCTGAATGTGGTACAGTACTTTTTTTACTATTACCAGAAGATTCGTCAATTAATTGTTAACGTGTTTTCATTTTCTCCATAGGGGGATGCACGGAATATTATTGTCTCTGACAACGCAACCATTGGACAAAAATTTGATTGTACAGACACAATGGTACAACAGAAATTGGATGAAGTAAAGGACCAAATTAAACGAGAAATAAGGAAGGAACTTAAAATCAAGGAAGGAGCAGAAAACCTCAGGAAAGTCACTACAGATAAAAAAAACTTAGCTTATGTAGACAATATTTTGAAAAAATCAAACAAGAAATTAGAAGAATTGCATCATAAACTACAGGAATTAAATGCTCATATTGTTGTAACGGAAACAGAAGATGTTACAGGTATGTGGCTTTACTAATTTTTAAAATGAGCTTACTTAAAACCATTGCCAGCAGTTAAAGTCGAAGAATTTCAGTAGTAAATTCTCTCAAGGGATAATACAAATATATTTGGCTTGACTTTAAAGAATCAGACTTGTACCTGAAAATGCTTATGAAAATAACTACCTTCACTTCTATTTTCTGTTTACACTCCTATTTGTAAAAAAGTAAAGCTTGGAATTGCTTGTGATATGGATGTGCATAATTATATTGTTTAAGCAATGTGCCTTTTCTGATATGATAGACTATGAAATTGTAGCCAAACATCATAGAAAATATGCTTAGCTCTGATATTACAAAACAGGAAAATTTTAGATGACCCAATGATGCAGCCTTGTTATGTTGCATCAATTCCTGTCTTCTTGTATAAGTTGCTACCACTTGTAAGGTGTGTACATCTGTGGTTTGAACAACATTGTCAAGAAGTCCATCCTCTTTCCAATGCACCTTTTTTGTTATGTCACATACTACAGGAGTAGGCTTTCCTCCTGTGGAACAGGACAAAGGGAATACCTAGATTGGACTTGAGTGTAAACTTCTTTACATTCATGCTGTAGTGATTTAGAAAGGAGAGCAGTCCTACAGGTGTAGCCCTTTGACCGAAGAGAAAGGAAATGTAATTTCCTATTTACTGATCTGGAAGATAAGTGGTTTAGGAATAGCTATTTCTTCTCAATTACTGTGAGGCAATATGGTTCTTATTCTCTTTAGTCACTGGTTTGCCAATGTTAGGGAGGGGTTATGTGATTAATTGTGGTTATTTGCACATATTAATTCAGGGCATGGAGCTTTAGCAAAGAATAAATGTAATCTTGTGTAGACTGAAACCTCAGTTTTATCACATTTCCATTTTGCAGAGATGCATCCTTTTTATAGGGCAGATGACTGTTCAGCAGCTTTTATTACCAACTGTATTTGGTCTTTCCATGAGTCAGTTGGCATCTCAGGTAGTAGATTGGAACCAGGGTCCTCTGCCACTCTCTGCAGCCACCAGTCCATTGCAACCCTCCAAGAGGCAGGCACCCAAACACAGTCTTTTCTGCTTCAGGTTTTATTCATCTCATCTTAGCTGAAAGAAGATTTTTTTTCTAGCCATCTGCCTAGGAAGAAACCACATGGGACCCTGTAGTTGCTTGAGGGACTATTTCCTACTTTTTCTCCCAAGAACACAAGAGGGAGAACCAGAACATGCAGGCATTCCACAAGCCTTCCAGTGATAGAGGTGGGTAGGTTGTGAGTGACAAGCTCTGACCTCAGATGGTTGAGGAAAAGATTGGGAATAAAGCTGCTGTCTCTTGGCAAAAAGTTCCAGAGCATAGGAGCAACCACAGAGGAGGCCCTCTTTTGTGTCCCTACCTAATAGGCCTCTGAAGATGATGGAACCATTAAGAAGTAGTTCTATCAGTTCTCAAAGCCTACGTAGGCTTGTATGGAAGAATACACCAGTCTCAAAGGCATTGCTGTAGTTGAGGAGCTCATATACTACATGCTAGCTTTCTATTGTGTTAATTGTTTATTTGCTATACAGATTTACCATGGCTATTTTGACAAATTTCATGTTGCACAAGTGGCTTCTTTAAGCAGTTTCTGAATCTGGCTCTCTGTGGCCTTCATTACACCAGCCTCAAAATCAATATATGAGCTGATAAAGGGATCTTTGCAGGAGTGCAAATGTAAAAATATGTGTGATCCTAGCACTATTGACTGACTGTACCCCTGCTCTTCTGGATGAGTAGGATCGTCTGGTGGTGCTGGGAAGCTGGCTAGCTTAGGAGAACCAACAACAGTGATTCTTCTATAATGGAGTGGCAGAATCTTTGCCAAATGCTGTTCCCAATTCCAAAGAGTGGAATGTTTCTCGCAGGGAGCAGCCTTCCCATGCAGTGGTTGCTTAACTTAGAATGCACTCTTGAATGCAGTGGGCATGCCTCAAGGTAAAGATATACAGTGGACCCTCTACTTAAGGAATTAATCCGTATTGGAATGGTGGCTGCAAGTCGAAAAGTCTGTAGGTCGAATCTCCATTGACCTACAATGCATTGAAAGCCGATTAATCCCATAACCAGCAGTTTTTATTCTATTTTTGTTCCATTTTGGGTTTTTTCTGGTCTGTAAGTCGATTCTCCGGCTGCAAGTCGAATCTAAATTTTGCAGCCAGAGAAGTCTGTAACTCGAAAAGTCTGTAAGTCGAGCCGTCTGTAAGTCGAGGGTCCACTGTACAGATTTGGGTTTTAAATGTCAAAGAAGGACATGGAAAAGATAACTTTTGCCCCACATTTCTCAGAAGGGCTAAACACTGCTGGCAATCTGTTTGGTAGTAACGTGGATTAGTTGCCTCTTGTAACAACTGGGAAATGTGCTTGTTGTGCATTAAAGGTGGGCATAGAAAGTGAGTTTGCCTGTTTTGGTTGTGATCTGTTTGTTTATTGTAGAAATAAACATTCTCCACATGACTGTAAACAGGGAAAGAGGTCAGTGATGTGAATTACTCAAGTGAAGAATTCATGGCATGCTTTTTCATTATTGAATCACCACTAATGCATCAAGTATTTCACTTGTTCTTAGCAGTTTTTCTCCAGCATGAATCTATTCTGTAACCTGTTTTTAGTAATATCTAGACTACTTTTGGTCTGGCTTTAGGCCTGGACATAGCATTAAAATAGCCTTGATTGATTCACAGGGCTTGAAAAAATGCACTCATCCACTAATCTGTGACGAGTGAAAAATGCTGCTTGATGAGTCACAGCTCCCTGCCTGCCTGCCTCCTTCCCCTCCGCCTGTCTCTCTCTAATCCTGCAGTCCTCCCCCCTCCCATTGCAAAAGGAAAATTGCCCTCTTCTCGCGAGAGGAGAGGTCAAGTGGCACATATATATAGCTCTGCAGGAGAATGTAGAGTAGTCCCATGCTGGAGAATATGGAGATTTCTTGCTCCCAGTTTCAACCAAACGAGGACACATCCTGGGGTGGGAGGGAACCGTGGCTCCTTAAGAGGCAGGGCACTTTTGCTTTCAGTTTTATTTTTGCTGGAGACATTCAGAAGAAAGGCATTTAAAATACAAATTTCATGACCCCACAGGCACGCAGGTAATAAAGCAACTCAAGTCTGAGGGTATAAATTGGTGATTCCCAGTCACAATAAATTGCAAGGCTATAGTCCAGTCATGCTGACTTGTGAAATTTTTGACTGACTGGTGAAACATTCTAAAAATTTTCAAGCCCTGTTGATTCAGTAACTTCTAAGGTTAGGGGATGCTATTCTGTTGATTATCCTGATCTCAGCAGCTTTCACTGTCATTGAACACAGTATTCTCTAAGAATAGATTAGTTACCAAGAGCTTGCACAATGTTTTTTTTTTCTGATAATCAGCTATCTTGTGTATAAATGAATCTACTGACTCAGAATATTTTTTTATATGGAGTTGTGGGCACTGCTTACTTGAAGATGGGGGGAAATTGACAATGATGATATAGAAACAGCAGAAAGATGACTTCAGGAACAAAAATGTTTGGAAAAACTACTTGTTTTTACATTATCATTATGGTCCCTTCAGTAAGACCCATGTAGTATTTTTTGTTTGTGCAGGACACTTCTTACACACAAGAATATGTTTGTCATTCTAGTGGCATTTGGATGGACTTGTTTCATATGATAGTGTTTGCAAATCACATTCTTTTTTAGAAGAACTTGCAGTGTGGAAATACTTCTGTGTGCTTGATGCTTGCTAAGAAAAGGGAAAGTCAAAACAATTCAGTGGTTTGCTTGCTAGTAGAACAAAACTATAGTTACCCAGTGGTACAGTGGGTAGAGTGATGTACTGAGACTTTGGAGATTAAGGTTTGAACCTCCACTCAGCCATGGAAACTGACTGAGGGAGTGGAACTGGTAAAACCATTCCTTAAACATCTCACTTGCCTTGAAAGCTCTGTTAGAATTGCTTTAAATCCGTTCTGACTTGATGACGCATAGCAACAACAAAACTATAGGGAGGAGAGTTGCAACAAAGTATTAGATGAGTCAGGAATAAAGTTGTGATTTACAGTACTGTATGTCATGAAATCTTGCTGTGAAGCATTGTATTTATGATTTTGAAAGAAAATAGTTCATGATTCATCTCTTTTCAATTTTTCCTGGTTTTTTTTTAAACAAAGCAAAACAAAATGCTTCAGGAAAAAAGGATGAAGGGAATGCATGCAGCATTCCTCAATAGCAAATTGTCATGACTATGCTCTGAATTTGGAATGGGCATGTACTGCATCAAAAATTAAAATATCCTGGGATGGTTGTCCCCACATGGCCTTGGATTTTCCCCCTGCCATCAATGTAAATTATTATAAAAATAGTGTTGATACTGTTATAATGATTAGAAAGAGATGATGCAACATTTAAAAGAGAGTATGCCTAGAAGATTGGGGGAGGAACCCTAAAAATTGGTTTATCTTTTTTTAGTATTTCAACTATATTACTGTTTCAAAAACAATCTTATAATGTGATAGATGTATCCATTCCCAGTTTGATAGTACTGTACTATGTATTGTAGTGTTAGGCGCCCGCCTCTTTTAATGGGTACCCAAACTAAAATAATTTAGTGTTTGCTAGAATATGATGCCAATAGTAGGCTTTCATGTGTAATATACATAAGTCATGCTAGTTGACAGAGCGTGTAGTGGTGTTTTAAGAGTTTTTAGTTCCAGTTTTGTCTTAATATTATAAGAAACTATTTCAGCAGCTTTTCAAGAGGAGGATTAGACTACTGATTGGCATTCAAGTCTCAGTCATGAGATGGTTTGTTCAAAAGTGCCAGTGTTGAATTGGCCATTCGGTTCAGCAAGTTTTCTTGTGAAGACTGAAATTCAAGAACATGAAATAAGCTTATTTCCATTATAGCATTGCCCATGCCTTTGGATTAGTCTTTAGAAATTAGATTTCTCTCTCTGTCTCACTCACACACACACACACACAC